TGCATGTATAGGGTCGGCAAACGAAATTAAAACTGAACATGTTTTACTTTCAATCCGATCATCTTTATACCAGTGCAACTAGACCTACTTTATACAGTCCGGTGTTACGAGGTGGACCAGCGACCTACGCTTGGCTGTACCGATCCCGAAAGAGTCTTTATCACAGTTATTTTATTAGTAAAGCATTGTAGATATAATACTGTTTAGATGTCCAGAATCAGCTGTCAACTTAACGTCCTTTATTGGAAACGCATCATCGTTGTCGATAGGACGAGCTGAATGCTAATTTTGAGGCGATAAAATGCACCAAATAATCTAAAAAATTAAAGCAATGCATATAATAATATAGTGAGAGGATGCGATGATAATGCACCACAAGTGTATACTATACGACCTTACATAAACATGCTAGAGATCCCATCGAACAAGAATTCTATATTGGACGACAAAAATGAAAGAGCCGCACATGATTGCATAGGAAAACATTCCCGTCAATTTGGAGGTGCCAAATCAGTCCTTTGCCTTCATAGATAATGTAGTCTTACCATGTACGTCGTTGACACGCCGGTAAAATTTGCCGCATGATACGTAAACTCCACGATGCGAGCATATGTCATCCACTCAGTGGTAGAGCATCTATCTTTGCAGCATTTGTACTTCAACATGTAGATCAACGCCGACATCACTAACACCATTCAGCACTCTTTTTTTATGACGAACATATAATATTATCAGCATCGTGTTTTGTTAGCGCGTAATCCACATCAAGGGTCATTTAGAATCAATGTAACTGCCTGCAAGACCCCAAAAATATATTCATATTTCCGCTATTATGTCTCCTCTTGGTGTTATGTGTCTACATGCCTCCTCATGCGGCCTCGGATCGTACCTTCAACATCTTACACGGCATTGTACGCGCCATTATAACACGTCTCTGTCTCATCTCATGCTCTCAAAACAATACCCCCAAGACGATAGCTACGTATTACTACAATGTCAAATTTATAAGATCAAGTTCGAAGAGTTGAAGCGACGTGAACGTATGGTCAAACGTCCATCTGTTGTCTTACGCATCACTCTTGAAGCGTTAATCCCACCTATTTTTCTCGCAAAGCGTACGTCGACGCAAAAATATAATGAATGTTCAAATTAATCAGACATAAGGTGAATGAAGAAAATATGCGTCGATCTATGAGGCTGATCTCAGGCATGTGTTATTCGCTCGTACGGTCTGCATCAGTGGTGCGTTATTTGCTTTTGCAAAATTGGTGCATTTTTTATTGGCCAGTGTTATCCGTACCACAATATTTTGTTACATATGCCACCACCCCTTTCCGAACAATCAGATGACTTAGATCTAAAACTCAAAGCATAAACAAACGATATGACCGCGCAAATGAACAAAAGTGACCAAACGAAATAAAAAATGTAAGGCAAAAAGCAAGAATGCAACAAATGAATAATGATTAACGTCCGACATGAAATAAACTTTATCTTGCCTTGATACTCAATGTAACTATATCCATGACTTCCCCCTCTTTACGACTAGAGCCATCTTCTTCACCAACCAAATATACTGTGGTAATGGTAGGAGCATGCTTAGTGGTCATACAAAAACGAAACCGACCTTCCATTTCCAACCATCTCCTTGACCAGTGCGACACCACGCGACTTTCACAGCTATGCCTTTAGCGCCACCCACCGAAGCATCTTTCGTCTAACTTGAAATAGCCTTGGAGGAGCTCACAGCCCATGCAAAATTGGAGAAATACTCCATCAATATAGGACGCTCTCTAACCGTGGAAAAAAACAAGGTCAACACTGTCAATCACGTCGTAGTTCACTGTGTACATAATGGAGTGCATAGAGCCAAGGAGCACCAACATTGTAGCACCATTACCTCCCGCATTAACTGTTCGTTTTAGGCAACGCTTCTTCGGAATGTAGTTGATGGCAGATTCACTCTGACGGTTGAGGATGGCGGGCATAACCATGACGCGACGAAAGATTCGACGGCCTATCCCGCAGCAAGAACGCTCGACGCGGAACATAAGGGTGGCAGTTCTGCACCTGGAGAAAGCTGAAGTATAACCCAAGGCTTTCTCAGCCCCTTACGTCAAATCGATTCCATGTGCAAAACAATCCTGCGCGACATCTACAACCTGAAAGTGAAGGCAAAGAACGCGTCTCTGGCTAGACGGCCACTCCTAGAAGCCTTCCTTGACAAGCTTGTTGAGAAGAAGATCAGCCACAAAATTCGACGCGATACCTAAAGAAGGCTCACCCTTCTTTTCGTTGTACTAAAGTATGCGCTTGCTGTTTCAAAAGAGTTTTCAGCAAATGATGTACTTCTGTTGGATTCAGTGAAAGTCGCGTGGTGTCGCACTGGATAAGGGGATGGTTGGAAATGGGTGATTAGTTTTGGTCGTGGTCACGTCGTTTGTTTCTGCTGTGAGTTTTGGATCTGAGTCATCTGATTAGGCAGAAATGGGGTGTGTGGTACGGATAACACTGGCCTTTTTATTTTATCTGATGTTTTCTATTTTCCTATCTAGTGGCGCATTTCCCTTTTCTGCAATCACCTGGTACATTTTAGTTCTTTATTCTCTATGAGGAATAATCCACAGCTCGAAAATTGTAGCATCTATTAGTTAAGTAGAAGAGGGGTCTCAGCATCATCGTTCAGACCGTTCCACCTCCAGTAAATCTACAAATACGCTTGTCGGAACACGTGGTCTGACGCTTGAGCCTACATAAAAGGTCAAGCGTATATTCTATGCTGACCTCCCTCGCGAGCTCGCGGGATACATAGCGATCGTACAAGTCGTTCTAGCGCCTTGCTCATCATCGAAGTCGTTGCACAATTACAACTCGTGATTGCTACAAAGACCGCGCTTTTACATATTGCATAATTGATAGCTAACATAAGGCAAAAGTCCTTTCTCGAAGATGCTGGTCATACCGACTGCCTGTATACAACGATAACAATGGCAGCACAGTAATATTGTACGGCCACTTTGAAGGTACTCCAATTGTACTGCAATGTGGTAAAGCTGTAACGTGAATAACACATGTCCACGAATAGGTCATGAAGCGACGGTATACATTTGTTGGTGGCGTTGGTGGACGGTTATGGAACGACACGTAGACAAAGCTTTCCATGGTTTGCACCTCGCACTCGTTTCGAGATATCCGCAACTCGTCGGCAAGAATCGGATCGATAGAAACCGACGCTTGGGCACAGGATTTTCTTTTAAACCGGATACGTATGAACCTTGCGATTTTGACGGTACACGTAGGCAAATCGCTTCCTTATCTTAACTCTGCAAGCCGAAGGCCAGAGTCTAGCCCACTGCATGTTGCCTGTCATCAATCTTGGCAAAAGGTGTCCGTACATTATTCATGCTCAGTCGTATCGATGACATTTTGCACCGTGTAAGTCGAAGCGAATCAACATTTGAAGACAAGACTGCCGCTTGTTGTCCATCATCGTCGCCGACTAAGCACATGAGAGCGTACAGTTTGCGTTTTCGAATCAATCATTTTCCGAGGGGGTCATTGCGCTGAACTGCACTTCTCAAGCGCACTTGTGCTTACCAATGTTTATTTCCTTGACATGTGACGTGGCATGACGTGCGACGCATCCTCAGTAGCACTAGAGTGTCACCACAGAGACACATCTATCGTACGTAATAACGCTATACACATGCTTTTCAGGCGCGGCGTGCTAGATTTGAAGAGCCCAGGTATGAAAATTGCAAGAAACGTCTTTTGAAGATCAAAATGAAAACATCTACTAGACGAAGAGGCGATAGATGCAGCAATTCTTGCCTCAAATGTGTGGTATTATGATGAGCACTACTGCCGTTGCTTTTTCTCTCCTTCTCTCCCAGCAAATGAACGACGACTAAGAAGAGATGCTATTGTAAAATCTCAGAGTGGCGCTCGAGAAATGAATGCACGCCGTTAAAAAATTGCTCATATAAAGGCGATATGTCACTATCCTTATAGGCGCCTCACATGGTAACACCTCGTGTACTTCCCATCCTTTTCACGCGCCCAGAGGTATCGATGTAGCATAAATGAGTTTGGCATGCACTTTGCATCCTATATGCTTGTTCCACCCGGTTCACACCATATTCGTTCTCCAAGCAAAGCAGAATCTCACGATCCCATAGCGTCGTAAAATGGATGCAACATCGTTACGCATCAACCCTCTTCGTCTTGATGTACGTTGACAGTGCTTGGCGGATGCTTGTGGCGGTTGCATCGGACACGCTCACTTTACCGATACGACGACCAATTGACTTGTCCTTTGGCTTCCAACCATGGTTTGCCTACACAACAACTGCGCCGTCGATAGAGAGGTCACATCCACACGGATTATGCATTTGTCTTGTGCATGTCTTGTGAGTGTATGCTTATATGTTACCGCTGTGGTTCATGTTGTGACTGCAACATTCGGTATGCACTTGAATCGCATGACAACTTGTCACAAAGCGGCCAAGCGATAGTGTTGCGCGTCCAAATACACAATGAACGAGCCTTAGTGTTGACACAAACGTATGGTGCTGGTCAGCTGCAGCCCGAAATCTTGCGCGCACCTTTGGATAGTCGAGTGTGCCAGTTTATACCTAGCTCCAGCAAGCACTGGACACGTGAGCTTGCTAGTTCTTATTACGATGGGGATTCCGCCGTCTCGTTCAGCATTCGACAATAGCGCTATTTGTACCACACGCTGAGTGCGTTAGCAAAACCGTTCTTAACTGCTGAGACCATGACAAACTGATTCCAAATGAAAAAAAAGTCGGGCGCAACGCAATAGGCGGATGGAATCAACCTGGAATTTCCGACGAAATTGCTGCGACCGTTCCCGTCAGCGTATGTTGTGTACACCACTTCCAAATCGTGCTCATTCCCTTTAATTTGTGTAAAGCTGGTGTGCATAGCGCTCCCGCTGCATCCGCAGCCCATTATTGTACAGCGAGAGAGCAAGCAACATGGGATCGGAGACTGGCGACGAGGAGGTGTCGTGCGTCCATGCAGCCTCTTCGGACGACATTGTAAGCGCTAGTGAAGGCTCGAGTCAAAGTGCAGAGGAATCAGAGAAAAGCTCGCAAGGAGACAGCGAGACCGGTGAGCTCAAGCGGGAAGAGAACGACGACATTAGGATGGAAGCAGTTGCGACAACGGGACAAGGAGATGTGAAGATGAATCTATTGGGAGAGGGACGTGATATGGAAGAAAGCGCTATGGGTGCGCAGACTAAAGAAAATGTGGAGATGATGGAGACGGAGGATGGAGCCAAGGAGAGGGCTGTAGTTATTGAAAACGACGAGAAGATGTCGTCGAAGGACGTGCACAAAGCTCTGGCTGTTGATGGAGACGAGGGAACTGAAAATGAAAGGAGCATAGAAGGAGATTTGGTGGATGGAAGCTTTGGCGGAAGTGGGAAGGTTATGGAGGCCATTATGAAGGTGAAGGCGGTTGATGAGACTGTGCGGGAAGTGAAGAGTGCAAGTAACGGTGCTACTTCTTCTGTAGAACTGGTTGCGAAAACAGAAACGAATAGAGATGTGGCATCGAAGCCTGCTTCTGAGGTTACTGATGCTGATACTGATGCACGACAAGATGTCCCTGTTACGAGTGCTGGTGGAGATACTGTATGTACAGGAGATGCAGGAAGTTCACAGCCGAATAATGCTGAGGTGCAGGACCTTAGTAAAACGACTACAACCGATTGCGAAGACCAGGACGACACGTTGACATTAGAGACTAGCAATGATGGCGACAGAGCTGCTGCACTCGTAGAGCCTGCTGCTAAGAAGCAGAAAGTAAATGAAACGGTTGAAACAGCTCGTGAGAGCGCCATTGCTGAGGCCCCTACCGCTGCTGTCGATGGATCTAGTGACACTTCTACCGCTGCAATGATTTCTCGGGATGATATGGCAAAGATGGAAGAAGATAGCGGGCGGCTCAAGTTCGACGTGATCACGAACGATGGCACGGACGAGCATATGATCCAGCTTACGACACTGAAAAACATTTTCGCGAAGCAGCTTCCCAAGATGCCAAAGGAGTACATTGTCCGGCTGGTTTTCGATCGAAACCACCGGTCCATGCTCATATTGAAGAACGGTACTCACGTGATCGGCGGTATCTGCTACAGACCGTTCGAGAAGAATGGGTTTGCAGAGATCGCGTTTTGTGCCATCAATGCCTCGGACCAAGTCAAAGGGTATGGTACACGTCTGATGAACCACTTGAAGGAGTATGTAAAGACCAAGAACATCACGCACTTTCTGACGTATGCCGACAACTATGCCATCGGGTACTTCAAGAAGCAAGGTTTTACGAAAAGTGTATCCATGGCTCGGCCTAACTGGTTCGGCTACATCAAAGACTACGACGGCGGAACTCTAATGGAATGCACAATCCACACGCAGATCAACTATCTGCGAATCACGTCGATGATCCACAAGCAACGCAAGGTATTTTAGCTCCTGTTGATATATCTCGAGTGTACTAAAGATCTGCTAACCTTCGTGGATGATCTTGCACAGGCCATCCGAGACAAGCTCCAGGAGCGCTCTTGCTCAAAGAGGGTCTACTCTGGCCTGACACAGTTTGCGGAGGGTAGATTGATGGACATTTACATGGTTCCTGGTGTTAGTAAGTGTTGTGCTCGACCACGGTGTTGTGCTCGACCACGGTGTTGTGCACAGGTTCTCGTGTTCACCATAGCGCTGACGATATTCGGAACGTTATTTTGGCACAGAGGAAGCAGGATGGTCTCAAGCTGTGATTCGCAACAATCGAATCGGGTACGTCTTCCTCGGTTGACAGCTCTGCTACTGTTATTGATTCGGTTGACAGGTGTTGCTGATGTTGTTGTTGCTCTCACTAATGCTTATAGGACTCGCGACCAAGGCAGTCTAAAGTCGCAGCTCTTGCAGTTGTTGAAGGCAGTATTTAATCATCGCAGCGCATGGCCCTTTCACGAGCCAGTGGACACTACCGTAGTAGTGGACTACCTTGACCATATCAAGGATCCCGTAGATCTCCAGCTGATCAGCAAGCGCATCGACAGCGGATCGTACATCTCTAAAGCTGCGTTCAAGGCAGACCTGGACCAGATGTGTGAAAATTGTTTGATCTACAACACGCCCGACACGAATTACTACAAGTACGTCCGCTGTCTCACGCACGTGCTCACGTATGGCGACAGCTCACATGTCTTGTGTTTTCCACCAGGGCGGCGTTAGACCTTCGAGAGTTTATCCAATCTCGGATCCAGATCAGGGACCACAAGTAACTCGTGGCAAACAAGTTGGAAACGACAACTTTTGAACCGTTCTTTTTTTTGCACTCAATCTAGTTGTCGTCTATGTCGATCAAACGCATTTCTGTAGCACACACACACACACACATATATACATATATTCATGCATCGCACGTGTACAAACCAGTCTTACTTCACAGCAACGACCCCGACACTAAATAAATACAGGTCCGCAGAAAGTGTACGACCAACCTTATGTTGCCGAATCGCGCCCAGGAACGCCGTCAACGTACCGGTATTGACGAAACCAATGGCGTCCCCTCCCATTGTCGACGACCTCGACCTCGACGAGCTCGACGAGTGTCTCGAGCTCTTCCAGGAGCACAGTGGACTCCAAGAGGCGCTCGCACACGGCAAAGACCTACGCGCGTATGCCCAAGAGATTGAGCACGAGTTCCGCCTCGCGGAGGCCGCGTCTATCGCGCAATACGTGGTCAAAGCTACCGACCTGGTCGAGCTGCACGACGAGGTACAGGACTGCGACAATCTATTGGCGAAAATGCAGGAAATGCTGCTAGGGTTCCAGGTTGATCTGGGCGGCATCAGCGACGAGATTCGGCAGCTACAGGGCGAGTCCATGGACATGCACGTGAAGCTCAAGAACCGACGCGAGACGGAAGCGAAGCTGCAGGTGTACCTGGACCAAGTCGCCCTCGCGCCGTCTCTTATCAAGACGATCCACGAAGACGAAGTGAATGAGGGTTTTCTCCACGCACTCGTGACGCTCAACGGGAAGCTCCGCTATGCCTCGTTGCAGACTCTGGACCCGGACTCGAGTTTCGAGCTGCTGCCGTCTCAGACAGCAGCGTTTGCTGACATTGAGGTTCAATTGACAAAGCTGAAGATGCGAGCTGTTGCTCGTGCTCGCGAGTTTTTGTTTGCCAAGATGCACGAGGTGAAGAAGCCCAAGACGAACGTCCAGATGGTTCAACAGAACACACTGTTGCCCATGAAGTACCTCGTCACGTTCTTGATGGAGAATGCACCGGAAGTGCACGAAAGTCTCCGAGCCGTGTACGCTGACGTGATGAGCAAGACGCTTGTGACTGTGTTTCGGTCGTATCATACCGGGCTGCTGAAGCTGCATGAAGAAGTGGCAACGCGCACAGATGTGATTGTGATTGATGAGCAAGCGTTGAAGGGCATGTTCAGCTCCCGCGTGAATTTGAGCAAACGGAATGATACGTTTTCTGTAACTGAGCGCCGAAAGATCTTAGACATGGTATCGACACCTCCGCTGATCCTGCACGTGGCGCAGCAAGAGGGAGTGAAGTTGCCCTACGAAGCTATTTTTCGCAATATGCAGCAGCACTTGATGGACTCTGCGACATCCGAGTATCTCTTTCTTATCGAGTTTTTCAAGCCGAGTCACCAACAAAATGACGCCTTCCGCAGTCGAGACTTGTTCATGCAAGTGTTTGCTAAGACGCTGTCGCTCTGCCTCGAAAACATTGAGAACTATCTCGTCACGTGCTACGATGCTATCGGACTCCTCCTCATGATTCGCCTGACAAACGCTCAGCGGCTGGCGATGGAAAAACGTCGAATGCCGTGTTTGGACGCGTACTTTGACCGCGTAGCATTGCTGCTTTGGCCGCGGTTCAAGGCAGTGTTTGATCTCAATTTGATGAGTGTGAAAAACGCCAAGGCAAAGAAGTTGGGGCCGGTCGACCTGCACGCTCACTTTGTCATTCGCCGGTATGCCGAGTTTGCATCCTCGATTCTCAGCTTGAGTACGCACACGCAGCAAATACATTCGTCCGATGCTGGAGATGATACATTGGCAGGTACCAGCGCGCAAGTGTACGAAGATGGTGCAGGTGACATGGTTTTCAACAATTTGACGGTGATGCGTGACGAGATCATTGGCTTGCTCTCCCGCTTGTCCGAGCAGCACACCGTGGCAAAAGATAAGTGTGTGTTCCTCATCAACAACTACGATTTCGTGCTAACGCATTTCGAAAAGCGGCAAGTCACCTCAGAAGAAACATCGAAGTTCGAAGAGCTGCTTGCAGGGCAGCGCGAGAAGTTTGTGGAGGAGGAGCTTACGACCCATTACGCAAAGCTCATTCAGTTTGTCCAACACAGTGAGCAAGCAACACAACGCAAAGATGCTGCGTTGGCAACCGGCGGTAGCGAGCAAGTCACAATTGCGCAGATTGAGGATATTGTGCATGAGTTTGCTGTAACGTGGAAGGCCGGGATCGAGAAGATGAATGGCAACGTGATGACGTACTTTTCCAACTTCCGCAACGGCATGGAGATTCTTAAGCAAGTTCTTACGCAGCTGTTGCTTTACTACACGCGTTTCGTGGAAACCGTGAAGCGGGGCTACCAGTTGTCGTCCCCGTTCAACACGGAAATCGTTACTACGCAAGAGATTCTGTACGAGATTAAGAAGTACAGCCGGTCATTTTAGCCTACAGCTGCATCGTGCAACAATGATGATGCAATGAGCACATTTGTTATCTTTCCCGAAACAGTCTACAGAAGTTGTATAGCAAATTGTGTAGCAAAGTATGGATCGCGGTCTCGGTTTAAAGTCCCATTGGGGTCGGATTGATGTCGTATCCAAGCACGAGCACAATGAGTCCGTAGCCGAGACTGACAATCAATGCCATCGTTACGAGCGAGAACGCTACTCCAACGCGGAGGAAATCCTTTACTTCCAGGTATGGCTGGCCATGGTCGTCCAGAACCAGCAGCGAATTGATGTTCGGAAAAGATGAGAACGGGAGCGCCATCGCTATCGTCATGCCATAAGATCACACAAAATTCGTGTTAGCAGCGCACGTAGAAGGTGAATGCGAATTGCACGCGTCCTTCCTTACCGGCAGATATCGCCAGCGCACAGCAGATCACAGGAATGTGTGGGTGCCCTATCTCAATTGCCATTTGAACGATTATTGGTAGAAGGATGATTGAAGCGACTGTGTGCGAGACGAAAGTAGTTAGACAAACCACCAAGCCGCACAAAGAGACCGTGACCATCCAGACGCTTCCAGACGGCAGCGCGTGGATGACCGACTTGCTCAAAGTGTCGAGAAGTCCTGAACGTTGAACAGCCTGTACGTGGCAAAAATTGTTCAGATATTCGGCGCTAGATGACATCAACCAGTCCGAACAACAAGCAAACTTACATCTCCAAGTACGTTGCCACCACCAATGAGGAAAAGGATGTGCCAAGAAAACGAGTTGAAGTCGAATTGGCTCAGCATACCCGTGCCGAACATGACGAACTGTGGGAATGTATATCTACAGTTAGCACCGGTTTTTCACATGGCAGAGTCTCGCAAGGCATTACCATGAACATCAACGAGATTATGCCTAAGTCACCGAAAGTTGCGCTTGTCACCGAGAACGACGCCCACAAGAAAATGGTAAGCAGCGTCATAGAAACGACGACAACGTGGAGACTGCTGATCTGTTGCTTTTGATCGTAAACGATCTGCGGAATATATGTGGCGTCTCGGGGGTCCATGACCCACAGCAAGAACAGCCAGCACTATCACAGGATCACAATAAGTAAACGGTCGTTACGGGTTGACGTGGTAAGCAGAGGGCATTGCGTCACTTACCATGATCGTGCCAATGGTGCAAAACGGGACTGCCATGGCCATCCACTGACCAAACGTGATGGTGTATCCAGCTTTCTCCAAAAATGACACGGCTAGTGTGTTCTGCAGTGAAGAAATGGGGGTCATCATTCCGCCGAGGTTGCAGGCAAAAGCTAAGCCGATTAGAAGCGTCTTCACATAAACGCTATTCGTGGGAAAGTCTCGGATAATTGGAAGCAAGACCTAGAACAAAAAGTTGTGGCCGTACGTAGCAGACACCGTGAGTTGACCTCAAAAACAGCATGTACAACAAGGCACTGGAGCACGTACCGATACACACAGCACCGGGGCAGTGTGATTGCTGATCCACATCGACAAAAACAGTCCCATGAGCATAATTGCAAGCAGGAACAAGTTTGGGCTTTTCTTGAATCGACGTTGCAAGAAGGCAGCAATATAGAGCTCGATTTGACACTTCGCGAATGCTGCCGAGATGGAATAACTGCAGTGGCCCACCGTACTCGGCAGATTACGTTAGTCGCGTATTCAGCACATCACACCGGACAATACATAACGCACCCGCCCATAATCAGGATGGTCGTGTGATTGACGAGCATTGACATCACCTCCTTAGCGGATTGCCCTGACGTTGCAGCAACGCAAGAAGGAAAGCACTACGTTAGCATCAGTTCAAGTCGCGTCCAGTTTACCAACGACTTTTGTAAGACCCGTACGAGCTGTGAGCAGCGTGTCGGGGTGTGCCTTATCGTTCAGAATTTCCAGGAACACCACAAGTGGCGGAACAAGGAGTGCCGTAGCGAAATATGGAAGTGCCTCAGTCACCCATAGCATCGTAATGAAGACGAGCATCGCCAAACATCGTTGCTGCACTTCCTCCCCTACAGCAGTAACGAGAAGCATCAGCGACTCCATTGCATTGGACACAAGGACCGTTTCTTTCGGTCGTCAAACACGTCTCCATACCTTTAGGGGTGATACGAAAGAGCAGTAAAAGCACAAATACTGCTACCGAGATACAAAAGGGGACGAGTTTCACCTTCACAAGTCACGTAGCCGGCAACATTTAGCACCGAACAGCAACAAGAATTCAACCAACACGAATGGCGTCGCTTTGAATCCAAAGGACTCAACGCACCTTGCGAAGGAGCGAGTTTTGGTCGCCCTGCATTCGTTGCATCCGGCGCTCCATATTCCCTGCTTCCAGCTTGTCCCTGCAACGAATCACTTTACACCGTCAATTCTACTCCGGCAACGCCAAGGTACACACACAACTCGATAGCCGTACTTTGACGTCAGTCCAGCCACGCGTTCCAGCAGCTTGTCGATATCGGTAGACGCGTAAAAGCGTTCGTTGGTCAGTCGTTCCATGAACGCTTCCTGCGTATGTGATTTCATGGTCTTGTCAAACTGTGAGCGCAACAACGAGAATAAACACAAGAGCGCCCGCCCGTGCATTCAAAACAGCTCAAGTGAGTCCAAAAGGAGCAAGAAAAACAGCCAGTGGTTGCGCGCCTGCACCTTCTTGACAATCTTCCGAAACCCCGAGTGGTTGATCTGCACAAACGTGCGCAAATCCACCAGCTTGTCATAGATCTCTTGCAGCGCTGCAAAGCCGCGGTCTGCTGGTCACAGCAACAACCCCAATCGCACGCAGCACGCCGTCAGCCACGAGAGAGAAGACCTAGCAACAAAGACGCTTCTACACCCCCACCCCCACCAACAATAGATAGACAGAAGACAAAGAGAGAGCGAGACAGCTCGTTCACGCACCCTGGGAGTGCGTGCGCGTGCGCGTGTGCACGTGTCCCGTCGATATCTTTTCGTCCTCAATCAAAGCCTCAAAGTCCCCGATCGATCGCGTGAGACTCTTGATCTTGCCCACGTAAAAGTCATTCACGATCTCGAGGTTGGCGTCCAGCACCTCCCAGAACTGATCCTTTGCGTCCTGCACCTCGTCCCCGACGCTCTTTAGCAGCGGGTGCGTCTCGTCCACGAGCACTTGCAGCGGCACGTCACGTGTGGCACTATTGCTGCTGCCGCCGCTGCTGAGCTCCATCTTGTGCTGCAGCTTTTTCTGCGCGTTCTGCTGCTTCTCCAGTTCAAAGGCCACGCGCTTGATCAGCCGCTTCAGCCGCTTGTACTGCACGTAGTGGTCGCGCCATTCCGGATTCGCCGAGATCTCGAGCTGCTTGCCAAACTTCATGTCCCGCGCGGTCGCGATCAAAGGACAGAGTGCGTAGTGAGTGCGTAGTGAGTGCGTAGTGAGTCAGCGAGCGACAGAGGTTTGTGCACACAGACACTATAACCCCAGAGAGTGGCTCGACCGGGAGGGAGGTGGCGACGCCGTCGAAACCTGTGGGAGTTTATACGAGAGAGTAAAAAACGGGCATGGATCCGATCGCATCACCGCAGCAGCCACTGGCGCAACATTCGAGGACCAGGTCACGTCCTAGCTTGACTTCCTGGACGTCCAAAACCAGCACCCGACACTGGACCAAGATAAAATCCATCCGCCGACGCTCGACGAGCTGGTCGTTCGTTGGCCGACGTTGCGGTGGCCGCGCTGCGATTCGAACGACCTTCGCGTCCCCTTTGCGCAACCCGACACGACACCGCACCACACCACACGGCACAAGCCTCGACCCCCGCATGGCGTTCCGTCGAGACGTGCCGGCGCTGGACAAGATCGTGCTCAAGTTCATCTCCAAGGCGCCGCGCCAGCTGAGCGTGATCATCAACGACCAGACGCTGGCGCGCGCCCATCGCATTGGCAGACCGGCCAAGTCGCGCACGCACAAGATCAAGCAGGAGGTGATCCGCGCGCTGCTCCTGGGCGGGCGACTGAGCGACGACACGCTGCCCGCGAGCTTCTTCCATTCGAGCATGACCCGCGTGGAGGTCATTGGCACGAAGATATCGACCGTGTTTGTCGAGATGGTGCGTGCAGGACCGGTCGATCGGTCGGTCGGTCGGTCGGACCAATTGCTTCATTGCTTGACTTGGGTTTGACGAAAAGACCTCTTGGGTTTTGTACCGCTTTTTTGCTCGTTGTTTGCTTTTTGTTTTTGGGGCGTCTCTCGGTTGTGGCTCGGGTTTCTGCTCTGTTGCGGCGATAGGTATCGAAGATCTGTCCGAAGCTGCACTCGGTGAACTTCTCGGGCTGTTTTCGACTGACAGACGAGGCCATTGAGACGTTGCTGAAGAATTGTCCAGGTGGGGTTTCTATTGTGACACAAGTGGCTAACGACCGCCTCTTGTGCTCGTGCTATGGGTGACTGACGACGTCGGTATTGTTTCGTGTATTGTGGTTGCCGCGGTTGTAGAAATCAAGGACTTAAATATCGAAAATTGTCGCAAATTGACGGACGTCACGCTGGACCATTTGCGTAAATTTGCTCTGAAACTTCAGGTCAGTGCTATGTGCAGCGAGGTGGTGGTGCGTGCTCAGCTCGAAGAGTTTGACGACGCCGACGGAATCGTGTTGCTACTTGTTGTTTCGTGTGCGTTGGGTGCGCTGTAGAGTTTCGACATTGGCGGCAATTTTAACATGACCATTTCAGGCATTACGAAGCTTATTGAGAAGCACCCGAACCATTCGAAGCTTACGAAGGTCCATGTTTCTGGCCACCCGGTGACCGACCAGTATGTCTCACAAGCTGCTGTCGCAGATGCTGCAACTGCAAGACTCATACTAGTTTCTGTCCGTTTGTAGAACGATCAAGATCATTATGGCCAAGTGCCGGAAACTGCACAGCTTAAGTGTCGGCTATTGTGCTATCACGGACGATGCTCTGATTGCGCTACTGAAGAAGCGCGAATCGGTGTCGCGTCTGTGCTTGCACTGGAATGTTGCGATCACGTCAGTTTTCTGTCGGACACATGCACGTATACCGCACAGAAAAAACCCTACTAACGTTGTGTGAATGCACATGTCATGACGCAGCGATCAGTTGCTACACTACCTTGGATCAGAGGCCCGAAACTTGCAGGAGCTGAACTTGTGCGGCGTCAAAAGCGTTTCTGCCGACGTAGGTTATGTCAAAGTACAGTTTCTGGTCTTTCATGACACTTTTGAAGCATCCCACTGACTTATCCCTTGGTATGACTAGTGCATTGTTGCTGCCATCCACGCGAAGATGGGTGCTCGAAACGAGTTGCTTGATCCTACATTGTCGCAGTCTATTCCGGACGATAATCCTGGACCTGAGCGGAAGCGCCTGAAGAGGATTGACTTTCGATACACATCGTAAGTTTTGTCAGTATATAGCGGTAGAAGCGTAACTGACACGAATATGTGGCTTTGTGTAGTGTCACGAAAGAAGTTGCTGCGGCTGTCAAGGAGCGATACCCTGAGCTACAAGTCACGTTCTGAATGGGGCGTCTCGCTATTCTACGAGAGCGAATCACTCGCCTTCCTTCTCGTCCTTTAGCCGTTTTCATGCGTCAAGGAATAAGCTACAACGAACGATGACGCACGCAACGTGAAAGTACACACCGTATCCGCATTCGGCGTTGTCTCCATCGCCAATATCGTAAACGCCACAGCCGGCCGTGTGATCGTCATCGTTGAGGCTCGTGCACAAAGAGATGGACGAGATACTATGTTAGCGGCGTCATTGATTGCGAAGGTTGCTCAACGGCTCTATTGCGCTATCACCCGATCGTGCAGCTCCTCGATCATGAACGGCAATGGAAATTAGGGTGCGCTCGTGAACGTCAAACGCTCCGAAAGCCAAGCTTTTGCTCATGCAAAAGATGTACGTTCACGCACTGGGCTCACGCAAGTCGGTATTTCGCTCGTGAGCTCCTTTACTGCACGCCATATATTGAAGCGTAGCTATGAGTTTTCCATACTATTTCAGCGCTTGTGGTTTTCTGTAGTTAGTTCAAGTGTTGTGATCACACACATGGCCTACCAGACAACGGCACTCATCAGAACGACGGCTCATCATGCATGCCATGAGCAATTACCCACTATCTGCTCATGTTTTTGTCCCGACTGAACTGCCAAGAGCAGTTGACATGTACATGCCAACATGAAGTCGTAAACACACGCTGCATTCTTTTGCTTGCTGCAAGAAGCATGTGAGGCACAGTGCAGGCAGTATAGAGCTTCTATTGCTTGCATTGCACGCTAACTATTGGGGTACGTCTGCGCCTATCGGTATGGGTCAGCCTTTGGTCGACACCGACCTCATGACGCCCGTGCAGAAACTGTAGGCTGTACGCTGCCTTGACAAAGAAACACAACGCAAAAGTCCCTCAACGTCCACAAACAAAGCAAGAGTACCAGACACGCAGCGAAATGCAGCATTTATCGCAATATGTAAGCACCTACATACTCTCGCGGGCACAAGTGTGTCGACATCACTTTGACCACTTTTACACATTAACTCCTTTTTTCGTCAGGAACATCTCGTACCTCTGCCCTTGAGCATAAAGTTGCCGCATATTAAGATCCGGATGCGCGTTCCTCATTCTCTGCATATCCTTCGTTTGCGACTCTTTCTTCTGGAAGGATTTCTCGAACAGATACATCTCCGACTTTTTATCCTTCCTGGATTGGCGCAGGCGCGCGAAATTAAACTTGCGGCGAGAACGGCGTAAGTTCTTCACATTTATCTTGGGCGGATGCTTCTTGATTCCAGGTTCGAGGTTTTTGAAAAATGTGAGGAGTGTCCTGCTTTCCGAGTCCGAGGTACCGGCTCCATCAGCGACGGTGGTCTTGGGCAGCCGCAAGGCCGATTTGTCCTCACTGTCAGCTTGTGCAAACGTGAGGTCTTGCGTTGACGGCTCAGCTCCGAAGGCACCCGTCACTCTCGAGTCCTTGACTGCAGCCAGCGCACTGACACGTGTGGCGCACGACAAAGTGGCGGCGAGTCTACACCACGTCCTGAGCTTTCACACCGGAGCCGAACGAACTTCTTGTGCGCGGGGTCTCACAGGCGGCAAAAATTGGACAATGGGCTATCGATGCCGGAGCGCCGAACACCTCACTTCTCTTCTCTCTCGCAGCAGCCTGTCTGGCTGGCTGTCGCTCGCTCGCTTGCACGGAACCAAAGTAGCAGCACGTTTTAAAACTAGAGTTGACGCCACGTACGATCGAGTCGTCGATTGTCATGATAGGATGGCCGCAAAAAACTCTGGCATCCTAACGATTGTCCATCGATCGGTTGGACGTGGCGGGACGATTTTCTCTTCTACAGTATGATGGGTCAGCGTATGGCTTGTGTCACGGGGTGAACCTGTTTCATGTCGTTGACACCACGTTGGGTCAAGACGACAATATGATCGTAATTGATGATGTTGTCCAGTATTTACCTTACTCAGCAAATTCTGAATGCATATTTCGTCGAACGTAATATCCAACACCGCTCCACTTTTTGCTTGAATTAGACCATTACATCAACCAGCTAAACCACTAATGGTTGCTAGACGCGCGCAATGGGTAGTGAGCGAGTAGCTACATTTGGCGTTTGTAGTTTCACGTTATTCAAGTAGGAACAAAAAGAGGTTTTATCAGGCAGCTTAACTTATGATAAACAGAGTTCTACTTCGTCCTTCTCCTAAACGTGTTTGTTTTGGAGATCGAGCCTTCTTCTGAACGTACTGTGTACGTATGGATTTGAGGCACCTGCTAACACTGTGCCAGTATAGGAAGCTTGTACTGTGTCAGTACAAATAGAGGATGTCTCGTTATACCTTATCAGCGTACCGGCTCCTTGGAAGCCGACGTCGGGTGGCGGTTGCAGTTTGCGAGCCCATATTGGGAAGTGATCGCTCAGTCACGTCGTCGAACATGTTTGGGGACGAAGGTCTTTTTTATACAGTGATCGTATCAAGCAAGGTACTCGCTTGCCCCGCTCGTTTTCCCATTTGTAGTTAGTCTACAAGGTACTGCGGTTGCGTGAATGCTTGCCTTGGAAGGATTTAGGGTGTCAGGTTGTCGAAAGGCAACGCTCACGTTTGTCGACGACCCGGCGATCTTTTCTGAAGATACTTTAGTTGGCGCTGACGCTCCGCCTCGTTTCTCGCTTTGGTGACTCACCCAGTTTCACAGTCCATTAGCTAGATGAAAGCTGGACTCTTTCAACAAGAGCGTGCTGATCCAGGAATTCAGCAGCATGCCTGTCGTTCACTCGGCAAACATGTTACGGTGTATGGACCATAGAGCTGGAGCTGGCGATCCACAACAATTGCAAATGGATGCTTTGGATTCGGATGGTCTCAGACACAGCGCGTGCTTACATCCTCCTCAGTCGCGACGAGTGAGGAGAATCGGATCTAACGTCTCAACGCCACTGTTCTGCTACCCATCCTGATTACAGCCAAAGTGTTTCGCCATTCCGGATGAGCGCAACAGGTTGTTCAACATTTGTACAACAAGTTTGGCGGACACATGCTACGACCGTGGACGCAGCTGACACAGATCAATTCCGGTGTGCTCTTTGCTCCAAAGATGGGGGTGGCATCAGGCTAGTCTCAGTCGAGGTTGATATCGAAATACGACAAACCAAACACGCTATGCCGTGGCTCACGCAAGCGCACGACATGTCTCGTCGTGCTCGTGGCATTTCCAGGCTAATCGGGGCAGACCAACAGCTGCGGGATTGTGTTTGCACGAGAGGTTTGGCAGGAAGAGTAGGTGGTGTGTTTATCAATACCATCGAAACACCTTTGTATGGAAATGGAGCAACAAACTCTTGGAGCCCGCTACGAACGATTGATTTGACTTGGGATGCAGGTGACAATGCACGCTTCTCTCTTGCTTCAAGAAGCTGGTCAGCTGGTGGGTTGCGGACGAACCACGGATAGTACCTCTAATCGTCATGCTTTTCCAGATGCGTTTGTGCATTCCCAAATTTTCACGGTTCAGCTCAAGCCAGTCTTTTTCCCTTCGGGGCAGTCACGTCGGAGGGAATCCTCCCCTTGGGGAGCCGACGTGGTAGAAGATCTGACGCGGGCACGCTGCACTCGCAGTCGCGGGTGTGGGCGTAGGAGACCGACGGGTCGCGCAAGCGGCCCTAGCAGGGGTGTTTTACGGACTGGAGGCGTACCCCGCGCCACGTGTCGCCGCTGCGGCGAGCGCACACTCCACGTCAAGGGGCCGCGCAAGCGGCTGAAGGGGGCCACCATCGCAGATGGTTGAGCTCCTCGGAGAGATATATGGCGGGTTGGCGTTCTCCACGCCACGCAGTCACTTCGGTGATCGCACTCC